AAGGGGAGAGAGAAAGGGGAAGGGGGATGGGGGGTAATAAAAAAAAAAAGTTCTCAGAAAGTTTAACTTCCGTTTTAGTTGTGATGAAGAGCTGGATTCTTCCACATACCTACATTATACACACACACAGGCATACACAGTGAATCTCTATCTGCAGAGGACAAATATTTACACTTACTTGGCCACAGATGTTTTTGAAACAGTGTGAAAATGGATGGGGATTAGAGAGAAAAAAGTCATGTGTATCTTTTCCCCCAGAGAATCAAGGGTTTTCACGGGACTGAGAAGTTAGGAGGGGGAGTTGGCCTCTGCGTGATTCAAACTTTTGATACCATTTCTGATAAACATCTAGGTTTCGGGAATGTGTCATTGGTGTTAATTTCTATAGATGAACACGCTACCAAATAATACAACTTAGAGTGCAGAGTCGACCCTGACACCCACCTCTGACACCCACCTCGAGTGAGCAGACAAAGGTAAGACCCGGAAGCAGAATGTTGCTGACCCCCGTGTAGGCCCTGGCTGTCTGTGAGGAGGAGGAGCCTGCATCTGAGATAGCAAGCCTGCTTCAACTCCGTAAATGCTGGACTTTCTCCCATCAGTCTGCACTGTTAGGTCAAATTTACCGCAGTCATAAAGAAAGTTTAGAAGACAGCATGTACGTCCGACCACATAGCATCAGCGTCTTTAGAATCCATTATAACATGCCATAGTTGTCACGACCCATGTCTCCAACCCACACAATCATACATGTTGTAGGTCATGGACAGAAGGCCAAAGAAGCTCACACAGCATCAGAGAACATGACGAGAGGGACCCTAAGGAGCCTGTCTGCGACCCAATCAGTCTTGCCATTGACTAGGCCCATGAGAAGGTTCTGAACTAAAGATGGAAATAAGTGTGAAAATCTTAGAAAATCTGTGTGATTACCCTACCCCTAATCAGGAACAGCTTACAGATAGAACATTCTGGAACAACATCAAACTCCATGGACTGCCCGGCACTTCCCACATTTCCCTGTTCTCCTCTTTTTTCCTACCAAGTGTTATTCCACCAAGATCTCATAATTCTCCCTCTTCATGTATAAGTTATATTTTCATCTCATCCAGAAGATGAGCACAGAGAAGAGAGGAATCCATGAATATATGCTGAGTAATAAAGCCATTTCGTCTCTCAGAGCCATCATAAATTCAGCGTTTGACATATGCCTTCATAATCCTAAAGTCACTAAAGGAGGAAATGAAAGGTTATAGGAAAACCCCTCAAAACCATTTCCACATGAAAACTAGTCTAAATTTGTCTCAGACTTTTCTTCCCTGAAATATTTCCCCTTTACCTCCCGTGACATTTATAAAGGGTCGCTGAAGCTTAGAAATGTGCTCAGTGGACAGTGACTGATAGGCTCACTTCTATTTTTTGAAGCTTTAATTTTTTACAAATTAAAAGCAGACATTATGATAAGATACCAGCTGTAGGTTCTGCAATGGTCATATGTTTTGTACTTAGTACTAAGGGCATCTCTGACTTCAGCTACCAAAAAGACAATACTTCTCTCAAAAGTTTAACATCAAATATCTTCTTATCTTTGCTACACATAATCATACTTGTTAGCAAACATCATTATATATAAATCACTCGATAACATGTAAATATATACTAATATTAATAATCCTCTGCAAAGCTGTGACTTCAGTAAAATGGCCTTGAACACAACCTTTCTTCTCTCGGATGGGCTGACTTCCTCCCATGAAACATCCACTTTTCTTTTTCACAGGCGTGGTCTCTAACTCACAGTCAGGCACACCTGGGTACCTGCAACTGGCCGGGACACCAGGGACAAGCACTGGGGACACAAAAGCCCTCCATGAGATACGACCTTGGAATACAACCTAGACCTGTTTAATGAATAGAAAATGTCATGAGGTCAGTCATCAAAGTATTTAAAGTGACAAATGCACTTACTGATTTAGTTATGATAAATTTCAAAAGGTGAATTTTACACCTCAACTATCTTCATGCACTTGGGTGCCTGGAAGAAAGGCGTTACTCCAGCAAAACTTGGTCAAATGGCAGTAAGTTTCTACATCAGTAGATGGCACATTTCTAAAATGACAGCAAAGACATCATTTTATATAGCATATAAAGATATAAGTATTAAGTAGTCACAAAATCAATGGTTATAACATGAGGTGGTTTAAGTGAGAAAGAGATGAAAAGAAAGTGAATATTATTCCAGATGCTGGTTCTTACTATTTAAAGAAAAAGTAAATTAATATGTTTAAGATTTGGATATATGAGGGAAAAGTGTTAGTAAACAGGTTCTATTTCTTTTTACTATGGATATACTATACAAGACACTATCCATTAGAAAAATAAGGTTTATATGCTCTTCACCTACTGAAATAAAATTTTGGGTGGTACTTTTCTTTGATGATATTGAGTCTTCTCATAATTCTAAGAAGGTGTGGTCCCTAGACATTCATTCATATCATGTACATCAAGTAAAGAAATAGGGAAAAACCGCTGTGTTCCCAAGATCATGTCCAGTGTCCTCCATATTTCATTTGTGAATAACTAACATTTTCAGTGAAAATCAGTGATGATATTTTCCCCGAGAAATCAAAAGATATCTCTTTGAACACAATATTCAAGAAAATAAAAAAGCATGAGAGCTGATTCTGAGACCTCTCAATTTAAGTGTAAAACCTGCTTATTTTCAGTATCAGTTTCTTTTTTCTTCTCCCGAAGGAGAGTGGACCACCTGAGAGACTTGTGATTCCCATGGGTTTGCAGATGTTGGGGTTGACCTCTGGTCCATGTTTTCACAGCCTCTCTCGCACGTTCTTACGCCAACGCCCATTCCAAACCATCCCGCTTAACTTCTGCCAGACTGACATTCCTCGGATACCAGAGCAGCGTAGTGGAAACAGCTCTGGAGCCAGACAGACAAGGCTCAGAATGCCGGCCCCGGCACTTGCTCTATCTGTGACTTCACACAAATCATCTGACATTTCTGGATGTCAGGGTCCTTCATGTGCAAAATGAAGATAACATGTAAAATGAAGCTCATGTTACTGTACAGCATTCAAACTTGGAGATATATATGGAAATCATCTTGCATATCGGAGACATATGTGTTGGTAGGATGATAATGATGATGATGGAGGAGAAGAAGGAGAAAAGGGAACAACGATTCTCTCTCTTCAGAAATTTGCAATTGCCCCCAAAATTACTCTGCATGAATTTTTAGATGTTGCACAACTTTGTCCCACTCTCTCTGTTGAGCACAGTGTCTGCTACTCACAAAGGTGTGTTTTTTCTGCTTCAGTGAGGCAAATTGCCCACACCTTACCTGCTTTAGTTCAATTCATGCTGCAGACCCTGTGCTCCAACAACTTCTATGAGGTAAAAGAATCTTTTTGCTTCTCAGCAACTACTCAAGTTCCACTGATTTCTCGTGACTCAGCATAGACAGCCAGACTTTATTTCAAGGCTTTTCTGAAATCTTGCTAAAAAGGGAATTTTGGAAGGTTTTGGCATTTTGGCAAAATCCAATTGACCTTATGAGACCAGCATAGGAGATAAGAAATGTCTTCAACTAGAAGTGGCCTGAGATGCTTTTCAATTTTAAGGAATGATTGTCATTATACTTGTGGCTCTAATAATGAGATGAAACCCTCATAAATTTCAAGGCCGCACCCATAGTGAGGCACCAAGATGTTCCAGGGATTCAGCAATTTCTGAATCCAATGAAAACAATGGAAGAATGCAAAAGAGAGACCATTAAATGATGTGTTATTTCACAAGAAAACTATTTTTAATGTTTTGATAAAAAACAATTCATATAAAGCCTTTTAGATATCATTCCAATAGACCTACTGGTGTTTTAAATCAAATTTCAAAATCACACAAAACTTATACACATATTGTATCACTAGCTCTTCAATATTTTTTTAATCAAATGCTTATGCAAAACATGGATAAAAGTCAGAATTTGAGAATGTTTAATGTGTAAGTAAAGATATTTCACAATAAAATGATTAATAGCAAAACATTTAATCAATAATCAAAACAATATCTCTCCACAATAAAAATATTAGCAAAAATATATTCACGTGATTAAAAAAATAGAGAAACAAGTATTGACATAAGTGAGAATATCAAGAAATATCACATATACTTCAATGCCATGTTACTTATATGTTTTTAATTATATTTTTATAAATATATTCCTTATATCTCTATGTAGTAGACTTACCTACTCAACAATCATTTCATAATTTATCTTTGCAAACATAGACAAATACCTCCCAATGGTTTCCAGAGATTTAGCTCTGTAATTACTTTCTATATAGTTAAGCACCCATTTCCTTTTGTATGAGCAGGATTTCATTCTTTTATTCTGTGTCTCTATTTCCTCCACAGTACCCAAGTAATGTATATAAAGAAATCAATATTAATCCTAAGTTTGAAGCATACTTTTCTGTTAACAATACTTTCCTGTTATACTCCCTCAGTCCATCAGGAATACTAGCAAAATGAAAATAACTTTAAGTGCATGAAGCATAAAATATGAAGGTTTATATAACAATTTTATTTTTTTACTCTGAGAATATAGATTACTTCAAACTCATTAACTCCTATCCACTGGGAACTACAAACCGAGGTTTTATATAATAGGTTATATTACTGTCTAAATTTAGAGTTGAGAGTCTTACCTGAGTTTTGTTTAGTATACAGTTATTTTTTAAAGACAGGAAATGTATGACAAGCTGTCAGGATAAATAATACCAACAGTGAAAAAGTGGAAGGAGGGGGAAGAAATCAAGTCCCCTTTAAGAAGAATCCCCCCGTCCCTCTGTTTCCCAAACCTGCAGTAATTTTGTTCTGCATCTCACAAGCAACTGCCCTTCCTTTTGCTCAGAGAGTAACACACGCTCTGCCCCAGCAGGAAAATATAAAAATTAAATAGAAAACCACAAGGTTATTAAGCATCTTACCCTCTGGGCTTGCGGGCTGCTGTGGCGGCTCAGTGTTACAGACACGTGTAAACAAGAGAATTTCCTGCATCCCTTCCTCATCTGAATGGCTCTGGGGGCCTGGCCAACAGGAGTCTTTCCAGCATTAAGGCCACTCCACACTAACTTGAAAAAGATCCCCATTGGTTGTGAAGTTTTATCAAAACCAATACCACAACACCCTCTGCGGATCACAGAGAGCTGACCAAGATGAAATCATCCCAGGGTTCTCTAGCGAAGGATGGTTATCCGATGCCTGACACACAACCCACTTGAAACCAAGTTCAGTGAATGGAGAAGGAAGAACCCACCCGCCCCTTTGCCCACAAGTTTGTTTAATGTTTAATAACAGTCGTGATAACTTGCAATAGAAAAAATACAACGAAATAACAAAAGGAGGTGTCTGTCTGCCAAGACTACAAGAACAAAAGGAAATAATAGCATTGGTCTAATCTGATTTTTATTAGAGTGCTGCCCCCAAAAGAACAAAAATTAATAAAATATTTGAGGATACAAATCATGACACCAAAGCTGTCTGACAGAAGCTATTACTTCAGTCTTGTTGGCAGAACTGTGAGCGGCTGCCCCCAGGGTCCCCTAGGAGAGCTCTCAGGCCCCTTTCCCTGGGGGGGGGGGGGCAGAAAAAAAAAGAGTGACTTTCTAGGGACATGACCCAGCCATCAGAAGGTGTTCTGGTGGAGTGATGGGGGACCGCAGAAAGGAACAGCACAGAGTGCCCCAAGGAAAAGAGCGGCCGAGGAAGCACCAGCACACCATCCCTTATGCATAAAGAACACGAAAGCCGTGCTGCAAAGGAGGGACTTAGTGTCTTCAAACTATTTTAGTCTTCCTCCCTTCTCAGTTTAGAGGATTATTCTCAGGGGAATCACGTGTGTCGACTCTTTCTACTTAACACCACCCTGACGTGGCGGAGAGGGTGCCGGTTCTGCGGAAAGCCAGCTAACCTGCCAAGGTTCCTTGCCCTGTACCCCCACCTCCCCAGCCCCCGCCCCTTCTCCCCAGGGAATACACTCAACCGACACTCCCTCTCTTCTTTCTCTGGACTCTCCCTTTTGTCTGGATTTCCCCTGATGTTTTAAACACATCAGTTCTTCAGTAAATTTCACTTCTGCTGATGAAGTTCACTTCCAATTCAGTCATTTTCCTCGTGGGTACCATTCTCCTCCCCTTCATGGTCCAATGATTGATGGAGGTCTCAGCAGCCCAGGGCGGCATTTACCTGCCGTCTCCTCCCTGGTGTGCGCCAGAGTGACCGTCTCTGAGAGCACATGGCGTTTTCACAGCTGATAGACTCTGCTCTCAGTCTTCACTCCCCCTGTGGTGGACTTGGCCTTCGACGCTATTCACCAGCCCACTGACACGAAGAGCCTTCTCCTCTTCTCCTCTCTCAGCACAGCACTGTCCTGCTCTTCCGCCATCGAGCTCAAGCCTCTGCCCCTGACCTTGGCATGGTCCCTTTCCCCTCCAGTCCCTCTGTGTACATCAGGTATGTTCTTATGGAAATCTACTACCTCTCTGGACGATGTCACCCATTCTTGTGGCTTCAATGATCATCTGCTTTTTCAGAGGACTCCCTTTATTAACATTTGGATCCAATCCACTTTTGAGTCTTCAATGCTGACTCACATCAGCATGCTAGGAAATACCACATGCTTGCCATCAACATATGTAAAGCTGGAATCATCATCTGTCTGTGGACTTGCTCTATTGTCTGGCTCAAGAATGCCGGCCAGCCCTGTGACTTACTAAAGAAAAATCCTGGAGGTCATCCTGGACTCCATTTCTGGCGTCTTTCTAATCTGGTACCACTTCCTCTCGATGTTATTTCCGTGATATTGCTCAGTCCTCTCCCTCCCAACTGCCGCTGCATGGTCCACAATGAGGACCAATGGAGGAAGCAGGAGGAAAAGGGAAGAGCAACTCAGCCTTGGCATTTTCATAATTGGCTGGCAAGTTGACACCTTCAGGCTCCCGAGCACACTGACCTGGGCTGATTTTTGTGTCTGGGTTCCAACTTCATTCTACAAATGAAGCCTTCCCTGTGAATTCTACAATTTGCTGACCTGCTATCATTCCCCTTCCTCCACCCCAGGATAAATTTTTATTTTTCTTTGGAGCAACAATATAGGCAGTTAAAAAAAAGCTTCTGATACAAAGATTTCCATTACAGATACACATAGGTACGTGCTACCATTTGGTTGGTGACACATGAGGGGGAAGAAGTCTGATGAGCAGTGTTGGGAAGTTCTGTCTTCCTGATCTAGAAACCACTCCATTTCACCCCTTCTTCCCCACCCTGGGCAGACACAGGAAGCTGGAGAACAACCTTCCCACTGATTGTGTGGTCACAGTTCAGACGGACGCCACCCTGAGGATGGCATGAGTGGCCTCGTGCAGCTTCTGGTGGCGATGCGAGGAAAAGAGGACGTGACCTGGTTAAGCCACCAGGTTTAACCTGTGGCCTGGTTTACTGAATTGGGAGCCACAGGACAAGAGAGGCTCGTAACCATCTCTAACTGCAGAAACAACTGGGAGTGAATAGTCATCGAAACTGGTTTTACTCCAGATCCTATCACCCAATGGGGAGTCCAGAAGGAACCGTGAAATTGAACCCCCCTTGGAACTTTTCCTTGCTTCCTGTTCCCCATTTCCAAGGAGAGTTAAGGCAGCAGCCACGATTTGTGTACCTGTTTCCATGTCTGCGTCCCCAACAAACGGCACATTTCTTAGGGAGATAACACTGCATTTGCCTTGGACTCTTTTACAAATAAACAAATTAATGAACGAGTGAATAAGGTATAAATGGACATTCTCTGAAACCATTAAAAGAAACAAAAATTATGAAAGTATCTCAGAACTGGACAAGGGATAGAGAAGAAAATAAATTAGAAATTTATACCTTTAGAACATTGAGCAAGGGTATGGTGATTTTTTAATTACTCCTAATTGTTTCTAGTTTTCTACTTTTATAAAATGAAAGAATTAATAGCACCAACATCACACACTTGTATATGTGCCTCTCAGTGGCAAAAAAAATTAGAAATACTGACGAAGTAAGATACGTAGAAAAGATTTTCTGTGGACTTAATAACTATTTGACTCAGATGCACTGTTAAATATTAATTGCAACAATTTTAATGGCTTTAAAATATTTGTAGGATTATCCTAAAGCAACATATAACTGTCTCAGTAACTAAAAATTCCTTGCAAGGAAGCCAATTTGGTTTTTGATTCCAAGGCACTAGGTCATTTAAAATCATAGATTAGAAACGTGTGTGCACAAAATCACACAGTACACTGTGATTTTACAAACATGTCCTTCATTAATCAAGAGGGCCCAGCTGGGAAGCTGCCATGTTTTATTACACTAACTTATGCCTACTCACACACATCAGTCACATAAGTCAGAACATCAATATGCGAGTCTCATCACAGGCCTATAGAAAAAAAACCTCTTCCTCCTTCTCCCTTTTAGAAATAGGGATTGTTAGTTCTTGCTCCCAAATTCCTTTACAAACACAATGTATATTTTCTAAGAAAATGTCTATGTGGTAACACAAGACTGACCTGATTTTTTTTAATATAATGTCAATTGGGGGACAACTTAAGAAGAAAACGTGAGAAAGATAAATCTGATCTACAATATAGCAATTCTTCAAAGAGATTTTCATTTCAGACAGAGGGGGGCTCAAGTATCAGCTGTGAGCTCTCACAGATAACTTGCTTCCTTAGTTTATAAAAGGGATGTGAGAACCTATGGATAGATTCTAAGGGTTAAGCTGAAATGCATATGAAGTGCTTAAAATAATCCCTAACATCAAATAAATCAAAGCTATCATGAGTAGTAACTATTTTTAAAAGTAGCAATGGTGACCTAATTACGATGTCTACAAAATAGTTTGAAAGCAAATTTTTATACTTGAAATAAGAATGTTAAGTAAATGTAGGCATGGCCAGAGGTGATGCTGTAGTTTATTTGGCCATTTCTCAAAGTGGTCACTTCATAACTGTATTCCTGCACCCAGCACCTGGGCCCTGAGAGAAACAACTAGACACATTACTTATGCTTTAACAAGTGTATGACAATATTCTTGTGAGATTTTGTGAAATTACAATCAATTTATCCTTCTGAGACTTTGCATGTTTCAGGAACTTTCCTTGGCAAGACCTACCTACGAGAAAATGGCCTGGAGACAAACATTACCTGCTTAAATAACCAGATACATTTTGCATAATTAGGATTAAGGACGGAGCCATCGGATTTCTATCAAGCTCATAGCAGAACAAGTGGTTAGCTATTCTTTCCTCGGTTAGTAATAGTGGGATGCAATCCGTGGGATTCTCAAACTCAACACCGCTGTCCTGTGCATTGTCGGGTGTTCGGCAGCCTCCCTGGCCTCTCCCCTCTCGTTACCAGTGACACACCCAAGCTGTGTCCATCAGGAGTGTTTCCAGACATTGCCAAATGTCCCCGGAGAGGCACAATTGCTATCGGTTGAGATCCATTGTTTAAAGTGACGGAGTAGTGGAAAGATGTGACAAAGACCTAGCTCAGCTCTGCCAATAACCATTATGAGCTTGGCCATCCAGCTGTGGCCTTGGAAAAAGTGACCACGTCATTCTGAGCCTTATTTCCCCATACGCTGCATATATAGTCAGGAAATTAGACTAGATCATCTCGAAGGCTTGTCTTACTAGAACAAGAGGTTCCTTAATATTGTACACTCTTGCTCTCTTTTACACACACACACACACACACACACACACTACCATTCTACTCACACATTTCAAACATAATAATCACCCATGTAGTCTGTATCATTAGGCATCAAATACATAGGGAATAAAAACAAAACTATTACAGAACCCATCCTAACACAGGGGACCTATTTCTGATTCAGTTTTAGGGTTTTATAATTGTTTTTTCTTAGTAGCTTCATCTCCAGGATTACCACATACACAGGAACAAAAATGCACCCCCGATGTATCTCAACAGACAAGGAGAAGCATTGCTTCAAAAAACACACACTCACATGCA